TATTGGTTCTTCATCTTCTTATTTTTTTTTGGTATTTGTTTTTTTTCTCTCTAGAGAAAAAAATAAATAAGAAAAAAATAAATACTAAGAACCAATAAGAGAGAAAATACTAAGAAAATAAAGGAAAATACAAAAAGGAACCAATAACAAAATAAAAACGAGTTTTTATTTGTTTTAAGAAATACGAACAAACCAAGAAAACAACAAGAACCAAATAACAACAAAGACCAATAATAAAATAAATAAGAAAGATAAAACGAAGAAAAATAAATAAAAAGAAAATACGAAGAAATAATACTAAAAAAATTAAACTACTACTAACATTTTAATATTTATTTGTTTCCAGTTAATACGTGATAGTAGAATTGAACTACTGCCTCCTACGTGTAAGATAGGTGTTCTAACCACTAAACTAATCTCGCTATATTCTTATATTCCTTATAGATACCTCCTGGTTTGCTTTATTTTCTGTTTTTAACTATTTTGTCTTGGTATTATTTTTGTTATTTTAGTTTTTTTTTTGGCATTTGTTTTTTCTTATTGGTTCTTAGTATTTATTTTTTCTCTCTTATTTATTTTTTTTTTCTCTAGAGAGAAAAAAAAACAAATACCAAAAAAAATAAGAAGATGAAGAAAATAAAGGAAAATACCAAAAATAAATACTAAGAAAATAAAGGAAAGTAAAAAGGAAAGAAAAGAAAACCAAAACAAAAATAAAGAACCAAAAAAAAAAAAAAGGAAAATACTTTGTAACAAGAAGCCGATAATAAAAATAAATAACTGGCAAAAAAGGGGAAACTAGTTTAATATATATATATTAGTGTAAGTCGATAGCATCTCGTAAATAAACACAAGTTAATACAACGAATACGTAAGCTTGGATGAAACTTACAGCAATTTCTAATCCAACTAATGCTAAGAAGATAGCCATTGGTAATAGAGCTACGAAGAACATAACAATACCAGATGTTAAAATTGGCCATAACATTCCACTTAAAATTTTAAGTAGAGTGTGACCGGCAACCATGTTAGCGAAAAGCCGTACACCTAGACTAAAGGCTCGAGCTAAATATGAAATTAACTCAATTAATACTAGTAATGGGACCATTCCTAATGGTGTTCCTGCTGGTACAAAATATGAGAAGAAGTGTACTCCGTGTCGGTAAAGTCCTAAAATTGTAACTCCGAAGAAAATAGTAAAGCTAAGACCGATTGATACAATAATTGATGTTGTTAATGTATATCCGTATGGTACGTTACCGTTTAAGTTAGCAAGAATAATGAAGAAAAATAATGCATAGATAAATGGTAAGAAGATCTCGTTAGCTGATCCAATTTGTTCCTTAACCATACCGTGTAGTGATGCATATGATGACTCCAATCCAACAGACCACCGACTAGGTACAAGTCGTCGGTCGTTAGATCCAAGTAAGTGAACACCAATTGCTAATACTAGAACTACTAATGAGTAGAATCCTAGGTTTGTAACTGATAAGTTAATACCTCCAAGTAATGGAGCGTTAAGAGCAACAAAAGAAGTTACTTCGAATTGCTCTAATGGTGATGTAAAGATTGTCATAATAATTTTATTTGGTTGCTATAAACTGTTCTTATTTAACTTTGTTTTTGTTGCTATTTTGTTCTTCTTTCTTTTCATTCTAGTATTTTGTTAGTATTGCTTTTAGTATTGTAATACTAAAATAAATACGGGCAAAAGGAAGGAAAAGAAACAAATAAAACAATAATAAACTAATGAAAAATATTACATTAATAAGATTATTGACTACGGTCTCTGATACGTAATTGTCTACTTAATTAAAGTATCTTTCTTATAAAGTTATACCATATAATTTACTAATAGATAGCCTTATTACGTGATTTACTTTGTTTTCGGTTTTTATCCCACTTTATCTTTTCTTCTTTGTTTGTTTTTACCTTCTTTCTCTTTCTTTTTCTTTCTTTTTGGTATTTCTTTTTTTTTTCTCTAGAGAAAAAAAACAAAAAAAAAGTAATGAAAAACAAAGAGGAACAAATACGAACAAAACAACCTAAAATATAAGGGAAATTCTATCATAAACTACTAAGAGGAAAATAAATAAATTAAGTAAAACTGATGTGTAATATAGGAGCTTGCGGACTAGCTAATCTGTTTAATTATGTTAAGTTTATATTTATTTTTCCTATATTTTGTTCGTATTTTTTTTTTTAGTTTTTATTTTGGTTCTTCGTTTTCTCTTTACTTTTGGTTCCTTTTGGTATTTGTTTTGGTTTACTTTTGGTTCCTTTCTTATTTTGTTTTTTGGTTATCTTTTGGTTCCTTTTTTGTATTTTCCTTTATTTTCTTAGAATTTTCTCTCTTATTTATTTTTGTTTTTTCCTCTAGAGAAAAAAAAAAAAGAAATACCAAAAAAAAATAAATACCTAAAAAGGAAAGAAAGAAAAGTAAAGAGAAAAACAAAAATACTAAAAAAAAATACGAACCACAGGAAAGAGAAAACGAAGAATAAGACTAACCAAGAAGAAACCGAATAAAAAATGAAGAAAAAACAATAAATTCTAATAAGATCTTAAACATGTTTGTATCCACTATTTCTGCTTTGGTTTTACTTTGGTATTATGTCCCATTATTTTGTTTTCGTTAGTTTTTGGTTTGTTCGTATTTTGTTTTTTTCTCTCTCTTATTGGTTCTTCATCTCCTTATTTTTTCTCTCTTATTTGTTTTTTTTCTCTAGAGAGAAAAAACAAATACCAAAAAAATACTAAGAAAATAAAGGAAAAGACCAGAAAAAACAAAAAAATACGAAAGTATTTATTACTAAAAATAAAAAGTAGAGAAAATAAATATCTAAAAGGAAAGAGAAGAAAATAAATACGAACGATAAAGAAAAACCAAAAGAAAACCATAAAGTTGTGAATAGGAGGTAATAAATTTAATATCGTTATGCTTACATCACTAATTTTAATCCCATTACTTGGAGCTTTAGTATTAGCACCTATGAGTGAATCAACACCTGAACAAATTTCACGTGTTAAACGAGTAGCACTATTAACCACTATTATTACTTTCATTGTTTCAATGGTTATGTGGGGAGAATTCGATAGTAGTTCACCACACTATCAATTTACTGCTCAATATAATCAACTTAACTTTTTACACATGCATATTGGAATTGATGGTCTTTCACTTTATTTTGTATTGCTTACAACATTTACATTACCAATCTGTGTATTAGCTAGTTGGGATAATGTAAAACACAATATTAAATCTTTCATGATTGCATTTTTAGTACTTGAAAGCTTACTAGTTGCAGTATTCGTTGTTCTAGATTTACTTCTATTCTATGTATTCTTCGAATCTGTTTTAATTCCACTATTCCTAATTGTTGGAGTGTGGGGAGCTAGTGCAGATCGTGTACGTGCTTCATTTTTATTATTCCTATATACATTATTCGGTTCACTATTCATGCTATTAGCTTTCTTAGTAATCTTCTACCACGTTGGAAGTACTGACTTTGAAGTATTATCATTAGCTGATATTAGTTTTGAAAGTCAACGATGGTTATGGATTGCTATTTTTATTAGTCTTGCTATTAAAACTCCATTATTACCTGTACACATTTGGCTAAGTCGTGCTCACGTAGAGGCTCCAGTTGGTGCATCTATGATTCTAGCTGGTTTAATTCTTAAGTTAGCTACATATGGATTCCTACGTGTACTAATTCCATTATTACCAGAAGCAACATCTTACTTCTCACCATTAGTACAAACTATTGCTGTAGTTACTTTAGTATATAGTTCACTTACTACATTACGACAGACAGATTTCAAAGTACTTGTTGCTTATTCATCTGTTGCTCACATGTCAGTAGTTGTTATTGGATTATTCTCTAACACATTACAAGGTATCGAAGGAGCTATTTTATTAGGAATTGCTCACGGAATTGTATCACCAGCTATGTTTATGTGTGTTGGTGGAATTTTATATGATCGATATCATACACGTGTAATTCGTTACTATCGAGGATTAACACAATATATGCCAGTATTCTCAGCATTATTCTTCCTATTCATTTTAGGAAACATGTCTACACCATTAACAGTAAACTGGGTAGGTGAATTAATGTGCTTAACAGGATCTATTATGCGTAGTCCGTTAGTTGGATTAGCTATGAGTTCAGGTATTGTATTATCAGCTGCATATTCAATTTGGTTATATGCTCGACTATGTAACGGATCATGGTCTCCATTCTTAGGTTATGCCTTAGATGTAACACGACGTGAATTTATGGTATTGTTACCATTAGTATTCACAATGTTCTTATTTGGATTATTCCCAAACATTATTCTTACAGATTTACACTATTCAGTATCAACATTACTTTATAGTGTATAGATTATCCCCTTCTCCATGGTTTACTATTTTTTGGTTCTTGGTTCTCCTTTGGTTCCTTTTTGGTATTTTTGGTTTTCTTTTATTTCCTTTTTTTGATATTTGTTTTTGTTTTTTTTTTCTCTAGAGAAAAAAAAGAAATGCCAAAGGAATCAATACTAAAAATAAAAATAGAGAAAATAAAAATAAAGGAAAGAAAGAGAAAACAAGAAAGAAATACAAAAAGAGAAAGGAAAGTAAGAAGACCAAGAAGTAATGTAGAAAAGGACGCATTTTATAAGAGAGTAAGATGAATTATCAATATAATGATAATAAGAATCGATAACAATGTAGATTATATCATCAAGTGACTAAAGGGATTGTTAGGGATGCCTAGCAAACATGTCAGAAAAGAAGTGGAAACACTAAAAGCATTAGTCTTTAATAACTAGTGCAATCTTAAGGAAAACCATATAATATACTACAGACTGAACCGAAACATCGTAGTAAGTCTAGGAAAGGAAATCAACCGAGACCCTGTTAGTAGCGGCGAGCGAACGCAGGATAGCCTAATGAAAATTGTCATATCTAATACTCTGGGATGAGTACTTCTCGAATAAATTCGAGCATACCATAGAAGGTGATAGTCCTGTGGATATTCAATTAATCATTTCCTTCTTGTATTTATAAGTTATAGGTACAGTTTTTTAGTTTTCTTTTAAAAAAGAAACAAAGTAGAAGGGTTAGCTAATATTGATAAATATTAGTGAGTAGAACGGCATTAAACCTGTTCGAATATGGGGGTACCATCCTCCAAGGCTAAGTATGACATGTTTAGCGATAGTGAAGAGTACTGTGAAGGAAAGGTTAAAAGCAAGTCGATGACTGGTGAAATAGAGCCTGAACTAGCAATCCTACAAGCAGACAGAACTATAAATAGTGATGTCGTACCTTTTGCATAATGGGTCAGCAACTTAATGTTACTGGCAAGATGAAAGTCCAAGCGAAAGCGACTATTCATATAAAGATAAAATGAATGGGGTAAGTCAGTAGTATTAGACCCGAAACGCCGTGATCTAGCCATGAGCAGGGATATAGGCCCGAACAGATGTATGTTGCATAATACTCTGATGACTTGTGGTTAGGAGTGAAATGCTAATCTAACGGCGTTATAGCTGGTTCTCTGCGAAATGCATTGCAGTGCAGCGTTAATTATAATATTTAGTATGTACAGCACTGATTAAGATATCCTATTTTGGATTGACTAGGGGGATGTGAAAGTCCTATCTAGCTTAGTTAACCTCGGAAGGACTATATATATATATTAGCAGTGAGTCGTAAGGTGATAAGGTCTTGCGACAAGAGGGAAACAGCCCAGACAATGAGTTAAGGTCCCTAAATAATTGACAAGTGAAAGTAAGGAAGTGTAGTAACCTGATACAGCCATGATGTGGGATTGGAAGCGTCCATCATTTTAAGAAAGCGTAACAGCTCAGTGGTCTAGGTTACACGCGCCGAAGATATATCGGGTCTGAATCAATATACCAATACCATTGTATTATAGTATATCCATACTATAGTTAGGTAGCAGAGCGTCCAGTACTTATGAAGAATAGTATTTTATTATTTGGAGGTAACTGGAGTGAGGATGCTGGCATGAGTAACATAATGAATGTAAAATCATTCACACCGAAAGAGAAAGGTTTCTGAGGGCAAGTTAGACTTCCTCAGGTTATTATGCGGTATCTAAGGGATTAGCCAATGCAACATCTCGATGATTATCTTACAGAACGGTAGAATTTCTATCCAAGAAAATAATGTAAGTTAACTACCGTACCTTAAACCGACGCAGGTTCTCGGGTAGAGTATACTAAGGTGACGGGCTAATCAAGTTTAAGGAACTCGGCAAATTAATCTCGTACGTTTGACAATAAGAGATGCCTTTTGAGTCTTTTGATTCATAGGGTGACACAGAATTGGGGGGTGCGACTGTTTACCCAAAACACAGCAGCCTGCTAACACAAATTGTGGTTGTATAGGTTGTGATTCCTGTCCAATGTCAGGTGATAAAGTATTTTTATTTTGTAAAATAATATTTTATGAACTAGGAACTGGAAGAACTGATCAATGACGGTCTTAACTATAAGGATCCTAAGGTAGCGAAATTCCTTGGCCACTAATTATGGTCCTGCATGAATGGAACAACGATGCTCCCACTGTCTTAAACTTGAGTCCGGTGAAATTGAATTAGCCGTGCAGATGCGGTTTACCACCAGGTAGACGGGAAGACCCTATGCAGCTTTACTATAGTCAGATATTGTGTTCGTTTATCATTTGTCACAGGAATGAGGGAGTTTAAACATTAAGTTCTCCATCTTTATTTCCTAAAGGAAATAACAAGATGGAGAAAGAAACTAAAGTGAGAGACCTCAACAAATCATAAACCCACTTATTCTTGTATTTAAGAAGAAATTGTCTGGCGGGTAGTTTTACTGGGACGGTACCCTCTAAAATAGCATCAGAGGGGTCCAATAGGTACACATAGCTTAGACGGGGACTAAGTTGCTAATATTAGCAAAAAACAGCATAATGGCGTAAGTGTGCTAAACTGAAAGACTGACAGGTCAATCAGGTACGTAAGTAGGGCATAGTGAACCGATAATATGTAATGGTACAGTTATCGTTCAACGGATAAGCTACGCTAGGGATAACAGGGTAATAGCGCGAAAGAGCTCATATCGTAAGCGCTGTTTGCCACCTCGATGTCGACTCATCACATCCTCCTGGTGTACAAGCTGGGAAGGGTTCGGCTGTTCGCCGATTAAAGTGGTACGTGAGTTGGGTTCAATACGACGTGAGTCAGTATAGTCCCTATCTTCTGGTGGAATATATAGAATTAAAAGAACATCCGGTTAGTACGAAAGGACCACTGGGTGCATACCTCTGGTGTATCTGCTATTAATTGGAAGTAATTCTAATGGTACCGCAGGGTAGCTACGTGTGTTAAGGATAAGATCTGAAAGCATATAAGATCGAAGCTGTTCTTGGAAAGCTATTAGCAACAAGATGCAGATCACTTCTTTGATAGGTCACATGTGTAAGTGTTGTAAAACATATTAGCTGAGTGATACTAATAAGTTGCTGGACTTGATGATATTACATTGATAAATTTTTAAATTTGGTCTACTGAATTACTGTCTTTCTTATTTATTTTACTTTTTCTTTTAGTATTTGGCTCTTGTTTTTTTCATTTACTTTTTTCTTTTTATTTTGTTTTTGTTTTTTTCTCTAGAGAAAAAAGAAATACCAAAAAGAATTAATACTAAAAAGAAAAGTAGAGAAAAAAAATTGATACCAAAACCAAAAAGAATATAAAGAAACAAAACCCAAAATAAGAAAAGTAACCAAAAGAAAAACTTTCGTGTTTCTTTCCTTTTTTATTATCCTCTATTTTCTTAGTATTTATTTTCTCTTATTTATTTTTTTTTTTTTTTCTCTTTATTATTTTTCGTTCTGATTCCTTTTGGTATTTTCCTTTATTTTCTTCATCTTCTTATTTTTTTTTGGTATTTGTTTTTTTTCTCTCTAGAGAAAAAAATAAATAAGAAAAAATAAATACTAAGAACCAATAAGAAAAAGGAAAGAAAAACAAAATACTAAAAAAATAAATACGAACGAAATAAATACAAACAAAAAGAAAAGGAACTAAAAAAAGGCAACATAATAAAAAGGGAGAAAGCGGAAAGAAGTCCAATGGCGGGACGCTTTATTTGGGTTAAAGAGCTTCCAGGTTCGATTCCTGGCTTTCCGATTTGTAAATGATTTGTATCTTTCTTATAATATAAAATTAACTAAGTATTTTAGTAATATAAGTAACATGCATAATCACGTACTGATTAATTCAGGTGTAGATATAAATTGAATTAAGGGCTTAATCATGGCCCCGAACGAATGCTATCTGGCTTTTTGAGACATGCAAGTCTATGGTTAATTTTAATCATGGCGTACGGGTGAGTATATGTCAGAACGCTACCTTTAGGTTTTTTAAAGAATCGTATTTGCCTATTGATGCTTTTGGCTAACAGCAGTTAGTTGGTGAGGTAATAGCTTACCAAGACAATGACGTTTAATCTTGGTTGAAAGACTTAAAGATCACAGTGGAGAATGAAAAGTCCCACACTAGAGTTTTACTCAAGGCAGCAGTCGAGAATCATAGTCAATGGTCGAAAGACTGAACTTGAAAGCCAGAATTCCATCTAAGCCTAGGCTTAGGGAATGTAGTATAGCAAGATAATGACCAGCTTTACTAATAGTCGTAACCCATTTCGGTGCCAGAAGTTTCGGTTAGACCGATACGGCAAGCATTGTTCGTTATGAATCGGCGTAAAGGGTACGTAGGTAGCTATGATTAATAGCTAGAATCCAATAGAAGTAACCAGAATTTCGAGAGTAGTGCTGATATGCTTTGATACTCGAAGGACTACCAATGGCGAAAGCAGGTTACTAATTAGAGATTGACACTGAGGTACGAAAGCGTAGGTAGCGAATAGGATTAGATACCCTAGTAGTCTACGCCCTAAACGATGAGTGCTGGTGCTTGGCCATATTATTAGTCAGACACTTAGCAAACGCAATAAGCACTCCGCCTGGGAAGTACAGTCACACGACAGAACACCAAATGATTAGACGGTCCCGAGAACCCGCAGTGAAGCATGACGCTTAATGCGATGACCCGCGCATAACCTTACCTGTGCTTGAATCTCAATATATTGATTAATCAATTAATTGATGACAGGTGCTACATGACCCTCTTCAGCATGTGCCTTGTGGTGCTAGATTTAATTCGCTAACATGCGCAATCCTTACTACTAGTTAAAATAAACTAGTAGTTTATAGTTGATAAAATTATATAGTAGGGCTAAGAGAGGTCCCCATGACCCTTATGTACAGGGCTGCCGTTGTGCTGCGAAGAGTTAAACAATATGATGCAACGCTGTGAAGCTGAGCTAATCACTAAAATAACTCACACGGATTGTAGTCTGTAATCGACTACATGAAATAGGAATTGCGAGTAATCGTGTAGTAGTGCGACACGGTGAAAATACCACTCGGGATGTACTAATTACTCGTCACATCTGGAAAGAAATTGTATTGTGAAACATAACGAGACATACTAAAATTCTTAATTAATTAAATTAAGGTTTATTTATTAATTGTTTTGTGTTAACTTGTGTGAGTAATGCACTTTGATTTGGATGAAGTCGAAATATAGGAGTGGTAGCGGAAGCTGCTGCTGAAAAATATAACACTAAAATCCCCTTATTTTCTTCATCTTTGTGTATAAATATAAGAGTGATACTAAATTTGCTTTCCTTTCTTGTTACCTTGTTTTTCATTACTTCTTCTTGTTTTCTTTTGTTTTACTTATTTATTTTTTTTTTTCTCTACTTTTTTTCTTTAGAAAAGGAAATAAAATACTTTCGTACTTTGTTATTGGTTCCTTTTGTCTTATTGGTTCTTAGTATTTATTTTTTCTTATTTATTTTTTTCTCTCTTATTTATTTTTGTTTTTTTTCTCTAGAG